GATTCGCGCGGGCCGCGGCCGCGTCGAGTGGGCCTTGAGGGCCTGGTGCCACGCGCAGAGCGGCCGCGGCGCCTTCTTCTTCTTCTTCCGCCGCGCGCCGGGCGGGCTCGGCGCGTCGTCGGCGCGCGCCGGCGCGGGCGCGCGCGCGCAGACGCACGCGCGCCACTGGCAGACGTCGCCGAGGACGTCGTCGTCGCTCGACTCGTCGTCGGCCGCGGGCCGGCGCTTCGCGGGGGCCGGCGGGCACGCCGCGGGCGCGATCCTCGCGTCCGCGGGCTGGAAGAGCTTGGCCGCGGGCTCCGGCGGCGCGGCGGCGGCCGGCGCGGCGTCGTCGACGGTCCAGGCGACGAGCAGCGCCTCGCCGCTCGCGGGCCCGCCCGGCGACTTGTCGCCCGGCCGGGGCTCGGCCGGCGGCGCGATGCCGTGGGCCTTGGTGGCCAGGAGGCTGAAGAACTCGGGCCGGCCGTCGGGCGGCGCCGGGAAGACGTCGACGGCCGACGGGAGGACCGCGCGCTGCTCGTCGACGTCGACGCGCCGGAGGAACGCGTCCGCGTAGACGGCGACCGCGCCTGGGCAGCAAAAGGGTGATTCAACGTCGCTTCAACGTGAGTGTTCCGCGCGCGCGCGTTCCGGAAAAAGCATCCACGCTTCGAGACCGTTCCGAGAGATGATCGCTCGTCCAAAAGTCAGCCGAAACGAGTGGAAAATGGCCGAGATCGGAGCCTTTGAAGTTGGGAATTTCGCTCTCTTTTGCTGCCCTGGACCGCGCGCGCCGAGAGGCGCCGCATGGCGCCCCGGCCGCCGCGGGGCGTGCCGAGGCCGTCGTTGCAGAGCGCGACGGGCGGCGCGACGTGGCAGTAGAGGTGGAGCGCGCCCCAGCGCGGCTCGCGCGCGCCGCCGGCCGCGGCGGCCGCGGCCGTGAGCGCGCGCTCGCGCGCCGTCGTTGGGAGGTGGCGCGCCTCGAGGAGGTGCGCGACGGACGCCGCGGCGAAGTGGAGGCCGTCGGCCGTCTCGACGACGGCCGGGTGGCTCGCGAGCGCGTCCGCGAGCGCGTCGACGGCCTCGCGCGCCGTCGTCGGCGCCGCGTCGCCCGCGGGCGCGCCGCGGCCGAGCGCCTTCCGCGCGCGCTCCGTCGCGTTGCGCCGGTGGTCGCCCCGCGACCGCGCGGCCGGCCGCGGCGCCGCGAGCGTCGGGTCCGACACGGCGCCCTTGGTGAGCGGGCCGTCGAGGTACGCGGCCGCAACGGCGGCGCCGAGGTCCTGCGCGACCTTGAGCCCCGGGCCGTCGGCGACGAGCGCCTCCGCGGGGCCGTTTCCCTCGGGCGCCGGGGGCGGCGCGCGCGCGTTCCAGTCGTCGGGCAGCATGTTGCGCTCGTCGAGGCAGTAGTAGACGCGCGCGCCCGCGAGCGAAAAGGCGCAGGGGTCCGCGTCCGCGTCGGCGTCGTCGGCGTCCTCGAAGGCCGCGCCCGGGTTGCCCGCGAGGAACCAGAGCGCCGCGTTCGCGTTGAGGAGCACCGTCGGCGACAGGTGCGGCGGCCGCGGCGCCGCGTCGCAGCGGAGGCAGCGCACGGGCGCGCCGTCGCCGCGGCGCCGGCGCTCCGCGACGGCGCGCGTCCGCGCGCCCGCGCTCAGGAGGTCCACGAGCGCCGCGGGCGTCGCCGCGTGCGGGAAGCCGGAGAAGGCGTAGGCCGCGGCCGCGGGCCGCGCGGCCGCGGCCGCGGCGCCGCGCGCGCGGACGCACCGCGTCACGCTCAGCCCGTCCAAAGCCGCGGCGACGTCGTCGTCCGTCGACGGCGCGCCGCCGCCCCGCGCGCCGCGGAGGGCGGCGCGGAGCATGCCGCCGGCCGCGCCGCGCGCCGCGCCGCGCGTCACCGCGTCCTTGGCCGCGCGCGCGCACCGCGCAAAGTCGTCGCTGCTCCGGCCGTGGGGCGCGACGTCCCGCATGGAGAGGCGCGGCGGCGCCGCGGGCCGCTGGCCCGGCCCCCGGGGTTTGCCAAAATCGCCGGGCGCGTCGAGCTCCGCGCGCGCGAGGAAGAGCGCCCACCGCGCGGTCTCTCGCGCCGCGTCTCGCTCCGCGCGGCGCCGCGCGGCCGTGCGCGCGCCGCGCGCCTCGATG